TCAAGGATTGCCAATGCCATGCTCCCTCGAGGGTCGTGCCCCTAACAGCTTTGCATGCTCGCTCGCTCGGTCTTGTTTTCCCCCAATCGCTCCTGATGCACAGGTCTCCCCAGGGATGCTTCGCGATGCAGGTTTACCCGCAGTGTTGTCAATCTAGCATACAAGCTTATTTTCGTGATTAGTATTACCACTGGCGCCAAGCATCACCTATGACTCCTCCCGCTTCCGCTTGCATGGTCTAGTGCGAAGCGAAGCAGTTTGCAACCACTGCCAGACCATATAATAAGCCTGGTCCCGGTTGCGCTTTTGCGCAACCAATGACTTCAGTGTTTTCTTTCGGGCATCGTGCTTTCCATTCTCCAACTCTGGGTTAAACGAAGCTGCACACGAAGACCTTGGATGGCATGAACGAAAGTTCTCTCTGAATGTCTTTGTAGTCCCTCTCTGTCTCTATTTCTGTGTGTCGTTTCATTCAAAGCGAGAATTGCAGCAAAGAAGCTTTCCATCGATGCATTCACCGCTTAGCAAGCGGCCTTGAAAGTGCGGTAGAGTTCTGTCTTGATGAACCACCATATACATGGTGGTGCCAGGTGGCAAAGGAAGCTTTGCAGTCAAATCCGCCGGCAAAGAGGCCGACGAACTAACCAAAGCTCTGGATGCTCGTTCTGCTGCCGGTGCTCGCGAGTCACCAGGGATCGGGGCTGTCGGCTCCTGGAATGCTTGGATAGCTGTGTATTGACATATGCCGGGCGAGGTTGGAAACCAACGATGCCAGGAGAGAGAGAGAGACACAGAAAATGAACGAGAAAGAATCCTAAAAAAACTATGCAATTCCGAAGCGGAAGACCTCCTCAGCATCTTCATCTTCCTCGTCGTCCATCTGCCCAACAAGCAGCTGCCGACAAGCATTCGTCGCAGCATCTTCCTCCAGCTCGTCCCACTGGATCTCGCCCTGCTTGCTTCGGTGGTTGAACACAATTGATGAGCAGTCGGGTTTTAGAAATCCTTGCCTCTTCAGCCGGCTCGGTCGCTTTCTCTTCTTCTTTTTTCTTTCTTCTCTCCTCCTGCTTCTCAAGCATCTTCAAGACCTCGTCGATCTTCGTTTTTGTGCACTCGTTCTGGATGCTGTCCATTGCCAGAATTCTCTTGATGCGTTGTGTTTTTGTGGTGTTCTTCGGCATTCGGATGCCCGAGGCTTCCATGAAACTCATCAAGTTGGCGACCGTAAGCTTCATGATATGCCTCGATTCCACCAACCAGGCCATCAAAGAGAAATCCTGCGAGCCCCGTCGCAAGATGAGGTTCGTGCCGCATTTCGCGGCTAGTGCGGGCTCGCACAGGTGGATCGTGTAGCCATAAAACCGCACCTTGGATTCATATTTACAGTCTGCCGTGCCCAACAACCCCTCATCAAGACTCGAAATCAATCGTCGAAGGGCCTCGTCCGCCTTCACGAGCAGCTTCTGGACTAGATTCCTGCATCCAGTTCTGAATGGATCAGACCACAGAAGAAGCATTCATTAGAACCCCGCCTCCCAATCTGCAATGTCAGTGCAGGGGTGCTCTGGCCCTCTGACAAGGGATCGTCGATGCACACGGCATCTGTGGGGATTCGGGTCTCGTCCGTCTCCATCTGGGGCAGGGGGCCCCTGAAGCTGTAGGACAGCTCCGTGAGCTGCAAAGCCTGGAAATCAAGCTTATCTTCTATAGCTGCACTTCACAAATTCAGGACACGAAGTCATGAAATGATAATCGATTTGATAGCCAAAGGGCAGTGAGGATTCCCGGCGATCTCCCGGTGCACAGATAAAACTTATCATGATACCGGAACAGCATCCCTGCAAAGATAGTCTCGGGCACCCAGAAGAACTGCATCTCATTCGCGAGGTCCCGCCCTTGCCTTGGTGGCACAACTGCATATTGCTGAGCTTTGGTACTGGTTCTTGCGTCGGCGTCTCTCTGTTTCCCTCGCAACCTCTCTTATTTTGTTTGTCTCCCTGTCCCTTCGGCGCTTTCCCTCTCTCTCTCTCTCTCCCTCTCCCTCCCCTTGTCTCTCTCTCTCTCTCTCTGTCTCTTTCTCTCTGTCCCTCTCCGTCTCTCTCTCTCTCTCTCTTTCTTTCTCTCTCTCTCTCTCTCTCTCTCTCTCTCTCTCCCTCCCTCTTTCGCTTCCTCCCTATCCTTTCTCGCTCGGTAAATTTCTCTCTATCTCTCTCTTTCTCGTTCGCTCGCCCACTCGCTCGCTCACGGTCCCGTGTCCAGTGCAAACAAAAGGCGACTCTGCCATCTTCAAAGCCGACATAATGTTCAGCGAGTGGTGGTTCTGATGAAAAGCAGATGTCGAGGGAAACGGCTTGCAGATGTTGTCGTAGGCCACATTCGTGCCTTGCAATCGAAAATTTTATGTCGCCGCTCCGATACCCAAAACCCCCAACGAAATCCCATCTGTCAAGAGGGACAAGCTGAGAGACACCATCAGCGAGAGACCAAGCGGAGCGAACTTTCGAAAGCGAGCACACAAGCTACCATCTTGCATTCGAACGGCACGTGGGGGCAGACGTGGGGCTGAAGATCTTCGCCTTTAAAGCGGGGATCTGGGCTCCAGCCCAGTCTTCTTTACTGAGCTTGAGAGGCTCAGGCGTGGAATCGCCGACACACAGTCGACGATGAAGCCCCCGGATGGCCACTGCCATGAGGTTGGGGAGACTGCCCACATCTGCTGAACCCGACCGGCGGACTGCCGATGTCATTTCCTTAAACAAGGACTCGATGTTCGATGACCATGCGACCTCTGGCATCCAGGCCAAAGTGAGGCTGAGGGCCTCTGGGTGCAACTTCCATTGATGCTTCTCCCATACAGACATCAGCTCGCGGTAGCTCTGAAAGCAGACATATCGGCAATTGTCGTGCAAGTCGGATGCCGTCACCTGGCTGCTCTCAAGTCGAACAACCATCTGCCATTCAGCTCGCATCTCGTTCAAAATGCGACCTTTCATTTCAGAGTCTGCATCCGGAGCAATCAATGCAGCAGCTTGGTTCGGGCAGCTCCTCAGGTAAAGGAAGAACTCTAGCAGTTCGTGGCAGGCAGCTAGATACATACCCAGGCATTCCAGGAGCACCGTCTGAAACGTGGAGCTCCGGCGAAACTTGATGTCCATAACCTCAGCTGAAAATGGTATGAATACTGCGATTTCTGATGCTCATGATACTCACTCATGATCCCTACACAGACCTGATTCAGGTGGCAGGATCCTGAGCTAAACGAACAAATAAATACGATAATGTAGCCTGCCTCGACCGATTGGCCACCTTCCCCGCCTGTAGCGATGATGTTTCTGAATGAATGAACTCTGTTTCACTAAGTAGCACAAACCCACAAAGCCAACCATCCCAGAATAATGTTGTGCCTTGCACCCCTGCTTAGACAGGCTATGATATACCTCGAAAGCTTTGCTCGTGAATGTCCGGCGACGATGATAGTTGTAAAAATTCTTAACTGATTCTTGCCTATGTCAAACCCTACATAAGCCCTGTGGCTGTGGATACACCGACTTGGCCGACTGTTCACCGAGCTGGCTCCGGGTCATGAGTCCGGTCTGTCTGGAGTTAGGATGAACCACCTATGTTGGATAGATGGGTTTATAATAATAATAATTATTATATAATATAATAATTATTAGGATTCTGTGGTTTCGGGTGGGGGAGGAATAGTTAAGACTCCTTATTCCCCGGGCACCGGGTTGGAAGCTTTTTCCAGAATGATACATGGCGACTTGCGTAGATAATACATTCGCGGAAGCTAGGATTCAGTCTAGCGGCCAACCCACCGATGGCCNNGTTGCCAGGGCCGAAAGCCGCATCTCGAAATCATTGCTGTTGGCTTGGGCCGTGAAGTTGTGCAGGGCCATCTTTTTCGACTGCTCTTTTTGCTTAGTTGCGGCACGGCATACAACTGCAGTTGCTACATCATGCTGCCCAACAGAATTAGTCGCGAACTCATGGTGCAGCTGAAACACAAGATGCAAGCAGATATCCTTGAAAGGAGTGACCACCTTCTTGGCGAAGCGGAAGATGGAGAAGAGCAGCTCGTCCATGAGTGCCTGATCAGAGGGTTGCGGTCAGTCTTTTTCTTGGATGCTCTTTGTGGCAAACATAATGACACGGAGTGCAGGCCTTGACACACTTCTCCACAGTCTTGTCTTGACTAGACTCACTCTCTTTCTTTATCGCATCCATGTTCAGCGGGTTTTTGCCCACCTGTTTCGAAGCTCGGGCGTGAATCTTTTAGGGTTTAGGGTTTGGGGTGTTTGAGCAGTAGTGATTTTTGCTAGGGTTGCGATAGGGTGTAGGCAAATGGTTTGTGGAACTAGCAGCGATCTGGAACAGATAGAGCCCAGCCTCAAGCGAACTCCATAGGATCAACAATAATGTGCAAGACATTTGAAAAGTTGCTGCCGTGTGGGCCCACGAACACCATCGAGACCACGAGAAGGACTCGCTGTTGTACCTCGGACTCATCATTCAAAGCTAATCACATATTAATATAATTAGAAACATATAATACTTTGGTCTCATGCTAGTCGAATGTACACACACTCTCTTTCTCTCTGTCTCTCTGTCTTTCTCTTTCTCGAGCATTCTAAAGACGATGAATGAGTGAACACACACACACACACTCCCTCTGTCGTTTCAACCCTTTGTTGCACACATAACCCAAATCCATTGAAATGGCCTGGCTCCACTCAGATCAGAAACCACTGGGAGGATTCCTGATAATGAACATTAGTGCATCTCAGCCACTTCATCGTCTTGCCCAGGATATCAATTGTCCTCTCGAAGTTCAGCTTCGCATCGGAGGTGTGGGGGAGGCCGTTCCTCGGTTGACTTCAGATTCTGTCTGTCAATGAGCGATGCATCATCCATGCAGACGATTCATGTTTGAAGTGACTGACTATTATGTATTCCACACTTCCAGACTTCGACTTATGAAGCTTAGTNNTATCCCTGCTGAAAAGCTCCATCAATACATCATCTTGATGAGCCTTAACCATGAGCACAGAAGGGCATGTAATTTCAGAGTTGTAGGCGAAGGCAGCACCGTCCATAATTGCAATTGTATAGGCTTGCTGCAGAGGTACAACTTCCAAGTACCGTTCCCCAGCCTCCTTCAGGGTAGAGGCAAAGTTGCTGGTGTTCCAGGGGCTTTTTTTGGCCCTGAAGAGCCATCCACTCAACAGTGTCATTCCTGGGCACGGGGACAGAAACCCAGATTGAGCTGCGACACAATAACAGAAGGAATTAGAGAATCTCTGAAGGGGCAAGCGTCTTTTGATCATCGGGCTGCAAGATGTCACACGACCCATGTGAGCGTGGAGCTTGTGCCTTAGATCAACAAAGCCAAACACGAAACTGTTGCCGGAAGCACAGCAAAATGAGACTATTTACTTTCAAGCACTGCTCTGTTGCTGCGGAGCAGCAATTCGTCGCGAATAAATCCCACATTGGCACCGTTGTGTGCGAGGAATTGGTAGGCTGAGTACAAGGGGCCGCCCTGATCTGGGCACAGTATGAGCCGGAGGCTGTTGCAGCCTTGGCCCTCCACAACTGTGTCCCATCTGCTCGCCCCGGTATCCCTTTTGACCACGAAAGACAACACCTCATCATTCAGAGTGTGGTGTGCTCGTTCTTCGTTCTCCGCATCTACAGGAGCACAGGGGCAGCTCGGAAAAATGTCGTCCAAGCTAAGTCCNNCGTTGGACACAGCCTTTAGCTCCTGCTTGGCAGCCAAGCGATCTTCTTTCAGAGCATTGAGTGCTTTGGGCCTCGTATTGGTGAACTATTAATAGATTAATGTGACATCACCAACCAGCACGGACACTTGAACTGACTTGTTCCTAAGTGCTGCGAGGGGCAGCTTCTTTTTGTCCTGCTTGGTCGCGGGTTCAGCCAGCACGGCCTTCGTGTGGCTCTCGGCCACCAGGCTTGCCACCCCCAGCTTCTGAGGTGCCGTGGCACCGCTCGGTAGCAATGTCGACAATCTCTGTAATGTACCGACACTGAGATGATTTGGAAGCCCGAAGACTGGCAACCATACCTCAGGCAAACTTAAGTAGGCTCCCCAAGAATCAATTCAATGTGAGCCAACAGCAAGAAAAAAACCTGATCTGCTGCTGAGGCTCATCGTGCTTCGCCTTCGGAGAGGCATCGCAGATGATTGCCAGCGACTTGTGTCGCATTCCATCGAGGGCCTGGAAGCAAACGGATTGATTGAAAGGGTCCTGTTGATTGAGTTTCGGATTCGTGGGCCTGCTGCGTGTTTCGTTGGGTCTTGGCGAGGTAGCGGTGCACGAAATCAGCAGTCGTCCTGGTATTCTCTGGACCATTGCACCCAACCTTTTGTCTCTACATTAGAACCATTAGAACAGGCGGAACACAGCTCGGTCCTGTTGTAATGCGAGGGACAAATGGCATCGAGCCCGACATCTTTTAAGCTCGAGTCTCCCTGCTGGCTGAGAAACCCACCACCACGTGATAGAAATCGTGCTACAGCCATCTCTGCTTTGGGTTTGCTCTCGAGCTTGAGTCTTCGCCCATCCCTGGTCGGAACAAAGAAGCAGCTCTGGAGAAGTTACAGACAAGAACCCTTGCAGCCCCCAGCACAAAATTTCTGGAGCTGAGGATCTTCGTCGCTGGATGGAACTCATGGTCTGCGTGGACCGGCGGCAGCACATCGGTGGTCAGGTCCACCAATGATCTCTCAGCAGCTTGGCTCAGAAGATGCACGAGCCGTCTCTGCAATCGAGAGTACTTGTTTGTATCCTCGAATGAGGGAAGCGAGACTCGGCAGTGGGATAGGCCTATCACGGCCAGCGAAAAAACGAAATTAGGCTAAGTGGCATCAACAGAGTCCTGGTGGGGTTGGCGAAGCAGGAACCACACCACTGATGCCACCTTGAGGCCTCGGTCCATGAGACTCTTGCCTGCACCAAACTATATTATTAACATAACGGCAACAGGACGGACCTGCGTCCGCCGATTGCTCCACGACTTTGCAGCCATTCCACCTGCAGGGGTTCAAGGCACGAGTGGGTTAGGAATTTAGGGTTTCTAGCAGCGACTGTCCAAGGTTCCCAAGCTAAAGGGCCTCTGCATCAGGCCCGCATATGTCAAAAAAGCGTGCCACGAGGCCCACGTCACCAAGCCATTGTTGATTCGAAGCTTGCCTCAGATAGCCGGTGCACCCGTGTCAGAGCAGCAGGAGCAGCAGCGGTAGCAAGCGGCAGAAGCAAGAGCAATGCGGGGACTCTGGTCTAAAGTTTCAAAATTTCAAGACCCTACAACTCAAGCCCAGCGACAATTTTCGTTGTTCGGCACCAATGCAACATCGAAGCTTCCAACAATGCTGGAACCCAAGATGACATCCAAGGTTTTCGCAGCCGCTGTTTGAATGTCTGGTTTGCAGCCCCGGGTCTGCAAAACGTAAGCTGCCTGCACCGAGGCTGCAAATCAGTGCAGCACAGTGCTGTTTGAAGTAGACTATTTGCAGCCAAGCCACCAGGAAAATCGCACCCGGAAGGGTGACTCCGTCGAATGGCAGCTTGAGGCGTACATTCGCTCTGGCATTCACTCCTTTGTAGGTCACTTTTCTAATGCAATGGATATTGACGAGGTCAACCGCCCAGGCTTCGCATATATCCATTGCGAGCCCCTCTTGCCTTGGATATCAGTCACTGAGAACATGCCTGGGCGATGTTGGGTAGCTAATTGAAACAGAAGCTTGGGGGCCGCTGCTATAATCTTTGCACACATTGTAGGCTGCAGACATTTTCGAAAAGAAGTTGTGGAAGTGCTGCACTCGTTTGCTGACAGCCCAGATCTCTTCAGCTCTGAAGAGAATTTTGTATCCTTGGATGCCGTCGGTAACCTGTGCACAGGGCATTCCATGTAGGTTCCGACAGACAACTGCCCTGGAAAACCCAGCCCCCCCGAAGCGTGTGCCTTGTGGAGCTGAAGTACTCCCTTCTTTGCAGCACTGCATGACAAGTAGAGGGTCTCGTAGTCGTGATAGTCTACCCCAGGACTACCGCTGCTATCGGAACCTGGCACCGCTGGCCGGGCTTCATCTGCTTCGACTGGAGCGGAAGCCTGGAAGAGTCTTGGCCGAAACCACAGACCAAGGGAGGCCGCCGATTCACGGCAGCTTGTCATTGCTTCCTGGCAGACAGAGGACAGTATTTATGTTGCATGGGTAGGAGACAGGGCATGAAATGTCATATGAAGCGGGGCCTCCCAACCCTCCGGGGAGACATCTAAGTGGCCCAAAGATCTTCCATCTCGGAAGTTGCAATCAGCCCATTCTATTTTTTTCACGATGTTCAGCTTCAGCTCCTCTCTTTCGACGGATAACTCAGGAAGCCTTAGATTCAGATCATGTGTTTCGCAAAGGGAGCGAGCACGTTAAATTGAGTCGGCACGTTGCCTGGGCGGCAGCACAGACCTAAACTTCTCAGCCGAAGCTCTCGCACAGCTTCTTCAATCTTCCCTGCAGCCAGGATTTGGCTGCCATGGTCGCCTCGGCTGGCTGGCGGCCCGAAGTGGCCCGGCTGCCGAAAAAACCGGCCTAGAACCGAACCCTCGCCGACACAAAAAGCTGAGCGAGCACGTACTCCAGTAAACGGTTTTGCTCCGAGCAAGCATGCAACTTTCCTCGGCGTTTGAACACTCAATGGTCGGTTTGGTCCGTTTAACAGAACACCATGCTCGCTAAGATTTTTTTTTCGCCCAGAAACGAACACCGGACGAAAATATCACGTTATACGAGCACGGTGTGCCTGAGAGAACACGTGGCGAACTAGCGGGCACGTACTGGCGGCAGCGAGCACGTAGAGCGGGAGGGAGCACGTATATGGTTCCAGCGAGCACGGGGGGGGCTTGAGACGGCACGGGCATTGGAAACAAAAGTTGCTTTGTAGGCACGGGACACCGGTTTCGCCTTCTAACCTCTCTTCGCAGCAACCCTGTGCGACCGAGCCAATCCCTCCCGATCTGCCGCCGAGGAGCAGCAGGGCCAGCTGGGCACCAAAGGCGAAACCAAGGCAGCACAAGCGGGTTCGAAGGGCTCCGTAGTAATTGTTGGTTATGTAGTGAAGATTGCGGGACAGTACTTGCAGCCTTTTCTCCTATCTTCAGAGGCCGAACTACTTCAGTGCAGGGTTGGGTTTAGGGTTTAATTAGGGTGCAGGGCTGGGGCTTAAGTTAAGTCCTAAGTTTAGCTAAATGAAGGAGTGTTGGTCCCTCTTGGAGTTCAGCTTCGGCTTAGAAGCATTCGTCGACTTCTCAGGACCCCAGCCTGCCTTCGATTTGGCTTTAATATATTTTTAGCGAATTGGGGTTCACTGTACGGACCCAGAACTTCTAACTAAAGGCTGATGCATCTACCAGTTCATTGGGATTAATTACGTATATAGTTATTACATTAGAAATGACTTGTAGCCTTTGCTATTGCGTGAAAATTCACACAGAGACAC